AGTAACTCTACCCGCCCTATTGCTGCGCTTATTACTTATTCATACAGTTTTTAGTTTTTGTCACTTGACAAACCGAATAGCCCTTAAATGCTTACCATCTGTTGAGGGACTGCAGTCAAAGAAATATTCTGAAATGAAAAATGCTCACCACAGAGCATCCAAAACTGCACGCAGCAATTACCCAACCAAGAAAATCTACCGTTGCTGTTCTATCTACCTGCAATGGGAACGTTCACTCTACACATTACAACTTAATAAATACAAGTTGAATATTCACATATGGAGCACATTCAGATTATGCGTATCAGTTACCGACTTGTCCCAAAACTGACGCCCTCGCATTTAAGTTCACGTTCGAGAGAGACTGAGTAGGAGCTGTGCAAAGTGCACTTACGTTGCTGAGGTACGGCCACATCGACATATAATAGATCGACGTTTGAACGCCTACTATGAATTGCATTCCTATCGAAATCCATATAGATCGCCACGGGGACTTCCTCTGATCTAGCATCGACAGCGACCTTAACACTATCACAGGTAGCTTATCATGCAGCGCCTATAACACCTGAATCACTTGATTTGTTCTTTGCTGATCTGAATTCATGTACTCCAATGTTCCTAATCCAGCAGTACAATTTGAAAAAATAAAAAAGAATCTAATCTATAGAAAAGGTCTATACATGCGAAATGTTGTCATTGAACGTAAGTGTCGCTCTTCGAGGTGCTTTTGTTTTGTTGACGCATTTCATATTCTGCTGGACTTTCCGTAGCCTACCCCTTCGCCTGTTAAGATCGCCAAATGTGACGTGTATCCATCTATCGTGTTGCCTCATGCTTGTATGTGATGAGCGTTTCCTGTCAGTCAAGCCAAGGCAAGAGTTCTAGCTCACTTTCAGTGAAGAAAACAGCAAGAGAAGAAACCGAGAGAACGCCCCAAGCAGGTTATTGCTTTCTGCAACTGATTTTGATTATTGGCGAGCCCACGAAGATGCACGCGGTGAAGAAACACTGTCGGTACGGGTCTACAGACAAGTTGACTCAATACATTCAAATGCCACGAATTCAAATTACAACATAGGACGTGCCCTAGTCGGAACAGTTTCACAACATATCCTCTGCTTACAGTGAGTAGAGATAGAAAGAAACGGCTAATTTATTAGCTCCGTTATGGGACGCACCACGCACTCGACCTCTGTTCCATGAATACATGTTAATGCAAACTTACCCTTTGCGCGGTTCAGACGACATCCCGCGTGCAATCTGAAATGAAAATGACAGTTAGAAATGTAGCATCGCTCAAAGTTCCACGATCAGTAAATGTTATACCGTCATAGTCACGGGTCGAAATACTACGTAAAACCGTTCCTTCCTTTTTCATTTGATGGGGCTCTTATTGAGGCACCTTTAACCTTCCCTATACTGCTTTGCTTGCTCATTTTCAGAGACTAACTGGACTCTCACCGTCCTGGATCCCGTTTCTCTCGGTGTACGGTGAATGAGGCCGCAGCTGCTTGCCACTTTCTCTGGTCAAATGTGTACGGGAAGGAGGCTGAAGGGAGGGGGTGGGGGTGTAGGCTCACTCGCACTGTTTATATTACGCTCGCGCTGCCGCTAGGCCAGCCATACGCGTGACCATAGTTAAACGCGTTACCTGAATGCGCTTTCTCACTTCTGGTTGTTCTTTATCACTGAGTGCGTATCTCTCTGCGAGACCTCGGGACGCAATTGCTGCACTTTGAAGATAGAGCTGGCGCAGCCGGGAAGCACCCTGTTGTCACCACTCTCCAGCCTCTCTCCCGGACACATTTAATCACAGCACGAAAGTGGCACGCTACTGCTGCTGCAACTACGAGCCCATTCACCTCGCACGTGGAAATAACTGCCCTCGGAGGTGAGTGTACTGAGTGCCGTTTCGGTAATGGGACGTTGACTGCGAAAGTCGAACTGAAGGAATGGTTGTGGTTGCAAGAATAAAGTCTGGTAAAGAATAAAGTCGGGAGTTCAGGGCAAACAATTACTTTCAGCTACGTTAATTTCGAGTGATTTTCTGCTGTGTTGGATCTCGCGTTGGAGCAACAAAAGTAACCAGCATTGTTATACGGTAAAAAAATTTGGGAAAAAGAAGAGAAGGCAAAGGCAAGGCAAAGCATAAGGTTTGGGGTTTCGAACCTGCAATGAAATTAGTTTTAAATTTCCCAAAAAAAGAAGTTGTGGAGCACTGTTTTGGAGAGTCAATATGGTCATATGAGTGCTATCACAAGAATGCTGAGTTATGGGCAAAAGTGAGTGAGTGCTGTAAGGCTATGGCACAAATAGCCATTGAGCTGAGTGGTCAAAAGTGGCCTCGGTAGCGTAATAGGGAACGCAACTGCCCGGTAAGCAGAAGATGCGGGTTCGAATCCCGTCCGTGGTCCGACTTTTGCCCATAACTCAGCATTCTTGTGATAGCTTTCGGATCGCGTACTGCGGCGTTAAACAGCAGTTATCAAACAATAACGGTCGTATGAGTGTTTTGGTATTGGCTTTCATACTCATGGGAATAGAAGAGTGAGGAGTAAAATAATTTCCGATTCCCGAGAAGTGATGTACGTAAAATGAAACTCGCCCACTATCATCGGGACAAAATTCA